AAAAAACTTAATAATTTTTTTTTACTTACAAATTTTATGTTGTCCTGGCATTGGTAATTTAAAAAAAAGTTCTTGTGGATTTTCACATATGAAAACAAATTCACTATCAGATTCACCATCAGGATATTGTTCAAGATATGTATTACGATCTAAACAATCAATAATATCAACACATCCAAGTAAAACTGATGTTGGATATTCTGTTGGAAAATCAATTTCATTATCATTATTTCGTGCTTTGTAAAATTCTTCCATATGTAAAATAGTTTCTTGATCAGGTTCTTTTGCTGCTGCATGTATCCATAAACGTCCACGATGTGAAGTATACCAAGATCGACCTTCATGCCTAAAATACATACAAACTAAAAACTTTATTTTAATCGTTTATCCACTACTGGTCAATGAAGTGATCATTTGTAAATCAATATGTCCGCGCGAGAATTCTAAGTGAAAGTAATCTCAATAACTGGACAATGACAACAACTAGCGATCTGACACTTTCAGCAGTCGAATGACGAGAACTACGAACGTATTTCTCAAAAAATTGAATGAAAACGATGTTTTATTGCAAGAAAATTTTACTAAAAATCAGCAGAATTCTATATAATTTGACTAATTTTATTTATTCAACATTAAGATATGAGAAAATAATCATTTGATTCTTTTCTTGAACTATAGGTCTGAAGCACATGTCAATATAAGAATTACATCGGAATGAAACAGTATTGTCATGCATGTTTTTGCGAAAATGATAGGTTTTAAAACAATTTTCTTATACATTGTATCAGAGAAAAAATCGTTCAGAGTCTTCCTATTTCGATTATTATTGAAAACTTCAACACACTAGCTGTTGCCGTTGTCGAGCTATTGAGCTTACACTCATATCTCTTTAATTTTGGCACACATACATTAAGTATTATGTAGTATTCTAAAGTTTCAAAAACATGTTTTGTAGTTAACTTCATCAGCTATTGATCGGCAAAAGAAAAGAACATTTTATTCCACTGCTTTCACTTCGAACTACCTATCGAGTTTTGAAAAATCAATAATTTTTTAAATAAAATATTCTCTATCTTTACGAAATAAAAATATTTGAAACTTGTTATATGATATTAGATTTATCAATATTCTTTTTATAAGATTATTTTATTAGCAATTCTTCATGAATTGCTATTGAAGGTAAAAAGTTAATGAAATAAATTTACATTTTAATTCCGCGAACCAATAATGAAGCCCATGGTTGATGCATCGTAAGACACATTCCATCATCTGTCATTTGCATTAATTCTTTATCTTGAATACGTAAACGTTCACGATCATTATCTTCAATAGTCATTTGTGATAAATTGGTTGTTAATGTTGATTGCGTATTAGTTTTCTGTTCCACCCACTAAAATTTTATTTTAATAAAATATTTTATTTTGATTTATAAATATAACAACGAACTTGAGGAGCTAACATAGTTTCAGGTAAATTAGGATTTAATAGATCATTATCATCATCATCCCAATTAGGTATTGATTCTTGTTGAATACGATCACTTTCTAATTCATATTGATCATTATCATGAACAGCTCGTGCTTCATTATAACTAAATTTATTTATTATTAATATTATTTATTTGTTCTTAATCGAATTCTATGTTTTATCACGAAAGGAAAAATTCAATATAAATTGTAAAGTTTTATTCATTGAAGAGGACTATCGATTATGTAATTAATTCTAACAAAATGTTTACTCGAATGAAGTTCGCATGAGTTATCAAAAATGCGAACGCTCTATGATATGTTTTATGCCAGTACTGACTAAACCCAATAGAAGACTCCCCTTAATTAATTAATTTCTCATAAAATTGGAACTTAGTATGCCTACATCAAAATATGTCCGACTTTTCTGGACTTTTAAAATTTTAAAAATCTCTTTCCAAATTCTCCAAAAACACTTTAGTTCGTTACCATAGTCTTTCTGGTTAATAACAATTTGTCTAATTTCTGCTTTATATTAAATATACTTTTTCGGTGTCAGTCTCGTTTGCATTATGAATATTATTAGGCATGCATTGAACTCGAGCTTTGGTTTGGGAACTGTCCAACTAGTTGAGAAAGTGTTGGGTGATTGCCTAAGCATTTCTTGAGGTATATGGAAAATCATGGAAACATCCTAAAGCTCGAATTCTGTGCATGCCTACATATTATCTAATAAATTAATCTTCATAGATTAAGTCGTATTTAAGAAGACGTAGAATCGAAATAAGAACTAATCATATGTTTTTAACATTAAGATAAAACTTACAATCGATCACCGGGTTGTTCAGTTTCATTATAAACTCGTCTTCCAGCAAAATCAATACTAATCTTTTGATTTTTTGGGTTTTTTTTTTCGTTCATTTGTGCTTGAAGTTTTTCAAGTTTAATTCGTTGTTGTTTACTAAGCCATTTATTATCACTATCAAAATAATCAGCAGCATCATCAATAACTTGTGTTCTTTGCGCACTAAAATAAAAATTTTTTGATCAAAAACAAAGTTTTTTTAAAACATTATTTTAAAAAAAAACCTTGTTCGATCAAATTCAATAAGTTTATTTTTAAATGCTACAGCTTCTGCAATATCATTTAATGAAAATTGTGATGATTCATCAGTTCTATTTGATATATTCTGTGATTCATGTTCACGACATTGTTTTGATAATAATTGTTGTTCAAGTTGTTTGCCTTCTCGTGTACCTGATATAATCAATTGTCTTTCATCACGGGTACAAACCTAAATACGTAGAAGAGATGTTTAATGTTTTAAGAAGGTTCTTTTTTCCTATCTCTACTTACTAAATTACTACAGAAAAAACATGGACCAGATCCTTCTTGTTCACATACAATTCGTCCACATTTAAGACAATTACTAATAAGTTTATGTTTTGATGCTTGACATTCACATGTACTACGACCTGAAGATAAACTTAATGATAGATTTAAGTTATAATAATAATAATATATATTAATACCTGGCAATCGAACGGTCATACGTTCTTTGCCTGCATTACTAAACACATTAATATATTTGGATTTTTTCTTTTGTGCTGTAGGCATGATTTTGAAAAATCTGAAATTGAATATTAAATAATCTATAGCGCTAAAAACTTGACACAAAATATATTCGCTCATTTTTCAGCCTTTAAACGAACAACTGCTTACAGTTAGAATTAGTGTGTGTAGGGGGGGGGGGGGGTAGAGCCCAGCGGATCCCACCCGATCGGATCCGGATCCAAAAATTTTGAGTGGGCCAGGCTCGGGTCGAGAAATTTTTGGACCCGATAGGTTCTTTCCACAAAAGATTAATCAATCAGGTTCAGATTATGGTGCGGGTGTGGATGCGGAAGTATGAGTGTGCGGCTTGCGTTCATTCACATCTCGTGCGGAAATGATCCGTGCGCATCTTTTGTATATTCAAATAGCACCTCGAATTTGAGTGGTTTCAATCAAAATATAAAATTGAGCAAAATAGTATTCTGCACAATGATTATTTTGAAATAATTTGATGACAGTTGTCTTATCTTACTGCAGAAAAAAATTTTAAACACATATTCGGAGAGAGTGATCCGAATTGCGTCTGACTCTAAGAAATTGTCTTTAAGTGATTGAAAAATAAATGAATATTTTGTGCGAAGACTTTCGCGTCATAGTTTATATTATCTTCTGAACACAAGGAAAAATGCTTTCAAGAGAGGAACAACAGATTTCAGAGTCTAAATTTCTGCTAATCAAATTTGGACATCTATTCATTGTTTTAGTTCGGGCTTTCAAGTGACCATCGAATATAACTATGCTTTAACAAGAGATGTGTCTATCAGCGAAAAGATTCTCATTTGACTCTCTTTGAGATTATCTACCACCAGTTTATGTTTTTTTCTAAATCAATTTATACTACCCCATGATAAATGCCACAACTTTGGAAGAAAGCTCCATTCAAAAGAGTCTATTCTTAAATTATTTATTTAGATTTATTCAAATTGAGATCTAAATAGCCAATCTAAACAAATACGAAGGATTCGGTGCTAAACTCTTAATTTATTTCGGATTTATTGCACGTTCAGATACTCAACATCAATCTAAACTTTACATTTGTTCGCTTATATTTTAATATATTAACATATTTGCAATAAATGATTGAATTAGATGAATAAAACATTCTATTTCTACATGTTCCATCGCTGATATCAATAATGAAGAGTTTGGTAAGAAGTTGCAACAATTATCTAGAACATATGAAAAAAACTAAATAAAACCTAATAAAGGCAAAGATCTAGTTATCTTCTATTGAAAAAAAACAAACAATGCAGATACAAATATAACAAATAAAGCCAGGATAATAATGAAAATCTTCTAATAACAATAGAACTTCAAAAACAAAAAAAGAAATTCAATATTTCTGTTGTTCACGTTTAATTCTATTAGCATAAGTTCTTGAAACAATATTCCATGCATCCATATAACGATCTGAACATTGTGTTATACATTTCTAAAACAAAATGATGATGACACAACAAAAAAGAAACAACTAATCAATTCAAACCTGTTCCGAACTTGATAAAGAACTACTAGGTTTTTGAACACAAGCTTTGAAACATTTATCAGATAATTTCTTAATTAAAAAAAAAGACAATTCAAATTAAAATCATTTTTTTCTTTTCTTATCAAAATTTTACTTGAAGAAGTTCTTGAGCATTTTGAAGAGCTAATTGTTGTTGTACTGAAGCCATTATTTGTTGTCGTTGATTACTGTCAATTTTTTGTGTATCCAAACTCATCTTGTTCTTTTTTTTTGAAAAATCTTAAATAAATAGAATTACATTTATCTGTTCATTAAAATTATAATTAAAATACTAAATAACACGAAAAAAATAAATAAATAAAAGTAAAAGCAAAAAAAAACCATCATAACATTGTTCGTTCATATACGAATTAAATATCACATTTAAAAAAAAACAACGAAAAAAAAATTAATGTTAATATTGATGTGAAATCTGCATGGCTAATCGAGGTTGATTTGTTTTTAATTGTGGAAATAATTCCATATCTTCATTTTGATCACCATCATCATCATCATCATCATTATTTTCAATAAGAGATAATGTTGACGAAAAAGGTGACGCAGATAATGATGAAACATTCGAATTTTCTTTATTACAAATAAAATCTTCATCATTATTAGTAATTGATTGCATCGTTTGAAGTGAAGGATAAAATTGAATTCTAAAAAAAATGAATAATAAATTTTTATTTTTTTCGGTTCCTTCACCAAAAAAAAAAAACAAAAATTATTGTGTTACAGAGAAAAATACGAGTGCGAAATATTAATTGTGTTAGATGATTTAAATAAAACTTACACATAAACTTAAATCATTTTGATAACTGTATGAATTGATAATAAATGCTATCAAATATGATTTAGTTAAAGATATAATTACTTACTGCTTATTATTATTAGTTGAATTAATAAAATATTGTTCAATTAATTCTTTTAAACTTTCTAATGTATTACGAATATCTGTATTACGATCAGCTATTCGACAGTGATACATAATCTTAAAGAATAGAATTATTTATTGTTTATAGAATTTTTTTTTTTTCTTTTTGAACAATAAACTTACTTGGCCAATATTTCGATTTAATAAATAGAAACCATATCGAAAAGCACTTAGATTACTTGTCGGATATAGAGGATATCTATGAAAGAAAAATTTTTAATGACAATCTTAATGTAAATAAATGGTACTTTTTTTCAAGGTGCAAAATAGGACTTTCATACATGCAAATATTTTTTCCATAGACTTCAACTTATACTAGTCGGGTTATTATTATTGAAAGAGAACTTCTTATTGCGTCCGATGGAAGGAAAGGAATTTTAATTTTATTTCATTTTCAAAGCTCCTAAAACTCCGAAAATTCTACAAAAGATTTTCTAGAAACCTTCTAGTTGTTTCCATACTGAGGGTTAAATATAAAGTCCTTTTCTCCCTTATCTGAAAGAGGATGCATCTATCTCTCGAATAAAAAAAAACATCACACTTCACTCAAACGAACTATACGAAAATAAAATTTGTTCGAAATTTCACAATTCATGCAAAAATCAGTTTTGAGTAAAACGTGTGAACGTTTTTTTTTGTTGTTCGTATATTTACCTGAAGAATTTTCTGATATCAGTATCAAATATGATTATATAATATACTAGTTAAAAATTTACCAAGAGTCTTATCGAGTGGCGTTTCGGTTTCACGTTTGAGTCAAAATGAACGACGATAACTTCAATTACGCTTATAATTTTCCTATGAATTTTGGCATTAGCTTTTTTTACTAGAGAGATCTAGACAGTCATTATGAATTCTAAATAGAGGTGTAAGCCTAAGGATCGAACGCCAGTGTTGGGCAAAAATTTTCAACTTTTTGAGAATTTCCACTGATCAAAAATAACGGAAAAATGTTCGATCACATATGTATGAGTGTCAGCGGCAGCTGCTGAAAAATTCTTAAAATTATCTATGGTTTAGTGGCTGCGACGGCGACAACTTACATCGCTAATTTTGAAAACATTTTTTAAAATTGGACATCATTTTGATGAATTTTAAATCAGACATTTTAGGAGTCAAGCCCATATATATTTGCCTCTTTTTTTAAATCTATATTTTTGGAGACGAATGGCAATCTTAAAGAAAACTGTTACAAGATTTCAGTTCAGAGCGAACACAAAGATATATTGCAGAACAAATATAAACTCTAGAAAACTCAGGTTATTAAAATTTTAGAAGCGAGGTACCGCCGATAGATATAAAATATATATCGGTACCAAAGCATAATTACATCACTTCTATCTATTGATGGCAGAGATAGGATCGATTTAGTTCCCCGGAAAACACGAATCGATCCTATCTTTGACTTATTATCATGGTATAGACTGCAAAAATAATATAAATAGCAATATAAACAAGTTTCAACTATTAAAACGATAGAATCATGTCAAGTCGAGTCCTATCTACGATGCATTCCTATTCGTACTACCATTTCTATGACATATCTATGAGATCAAGGAAGAGTCAGCGAATTTCCATTGTTTATTATCATATATATGTTTTTATTCTCATAAAATTTTATTCTTATAAGTTTCTAAAGAATCAGAAGGATTTTCTACTTGTACTCATGCTGCTGCTCCAAATGATTGTTTGAAAAAAAATTTCTTACGCGAAAACGTTGAATTTATGACTACAACAGACAAAATACTTTTCGACATTTATTTTTTTTATCCTGAGGGATCGAACATTGAGTGATTCAATACCTATTATTCCAAATATTGCTATTATTTTTCAAAAATAAAATTTAAATCTATACACTATATTATATCGAATAGAATGAATAAAAATAAAATTTCTTACTCATTCATTTCTAAACTATAATCATATATTTTAATTACTGATGTTCCATAATAATCAATAGGAAATCTCAATGGTAATTGAATAAGTTGTGAAATAATAAGAATTAAATGTGAACAATATCCAACAGCTGCTGCTATTTCATGATCATGTTCTCGAACTAATATATAGATATATAGATATAAATATAATAAAAAATAAAAAATAAAACTACAAACATAATGTTGATTGATAGATTTTATCATCTGCTTGTGGTAATTTAATATTTGCTATATAATATTCATTTTGATTATTATTATCAATTGGATAAATATAATGATAGATTTCATTCATGATTTTTTTTTGTCGATAAGAGATTATTTGTATTAATTTATGAAGAATAGCTCTTTAAAATAGAAAAAAAAATTATTTAATTAATAATTAAAATATTTATATGTATTATACCTTGATTGATTTAAATTATTATGATATAAATGAATAACTTCTTGTTGAATAATTAATTGTGATAAATTTTGATTTAATTGATTTTCTTTGAAAAAGAAAATAAATAATAAAACAAAAAAAAAACAACAATTGATAAATAAAATTAATTTACTTCTGTCTTCAATATTTTTTTGTTTTTGTTGATAAACATTTAAACGTTGTTGATATAAATATGTTTGAAAATGTAAATATTTTTTTAAATTTTCAATATGTAATTGACGTGATTCACGTTCTTTTATCTTTTATTAAATTAAAAAAAAAAAAAAATTATCTAAATATAAAAACAAACAAACAAAGAAAAAATATATTTTTATACTTTTGATAAATAATCTTTATTTGCATCGAAAAATGTTTGTAATCGTTGTAGATATACTAATGATGCTTGTTTTTCAGTACGAACTGCATGAATAATATTATTCATACTAAATTTAAAATTTATTCAATATAAGCATGATCAATTCATATTAAACTAACCGTATTATACTCAATTTATTATATGATTTAGTAAATGAAATACGTTTTTTCTTATCTATTAATAAGATTTTTGTATCATTCTCTTGAATATTATTTTCTTTATTAGTATCAGTAAATCGATAACCAAACATTTCAAGCCAAAGACTATTATTATCTTTATTAACTTCATTTTTCTTAAATAGAACAAAAAGCAGAAATAGTTATATAAATTTAAATTGATATAATTATAATAAATATTTTATTTTACCTGTTCATCAGGAATAAGTGAATCATCAAGATGAATATCATATTCAAGAAATAAATGAGAATGATTTGAAGATGTTATCCATACACGCATGAAAAAGTCTAAATAAATTCAATTATTTGAACAAATCTAGATCAATATGTTTTATTTGGAAATAAAATTTTTATCATAGAAAAATGGACTGAAGTCTTCTCGTTCAGAATATATATGACTTGTAGTAAAACGATTATGTTTCAATAGACTTATTGGAAGAAACTTGGAATCTCCGATTATGTTTTTTCGAGAAATTTTTGCATCTGTTTTGAGTTTTTGAAAGACTGATTTTTTTATAATCATTAAGCGCCTTGAATATATAATTCACATATCTTGCACAGAAGTCTAAAGGATTTGAATGAAATAATTGATTTCCTAACTGATTTACCTTTTTTTTTTCTCAAAATATAATTAGTTTTCAATTAGAAAAATTAAAACTTCTCCTTGACGGTTTGGTATACAAACAATCTTTCTTTTGTTTACAAATTTTCAATGAGAATAAATTTTTGTTCGATCGGATTTCTTTTACTTGATGCTCAGAAAAATTATATGGAGACAAATTTTGAAATTCTATTCAGAGAAAAACTACGTACAAGTATTGACTTTTATTTCAAGCTACTCTGAACTGTGCATCTTTTATCGCGAGAGAATTTTAGAATTCTTCTGAAGGTAATAGATGGGTTATAAATAAGTTCAAAGTTCCATTTAGTATAAAATGTTTATCACTAGGACAACTCTCATTCTTGAAAAATTCTGTCTAAACGAGCCATTCTAACAAGGAAACCACTAGAACTGATATTCGCCGTTCGAGCTCTTGTTGGGTTCATAAGAAGATCTTGGTGAGACTAGAAAAATTCTAAAAGAGTTCGTGCTCATATGGGCATCGAGAGTCGAGTTATGACCGTTTATTGAACATTCGAACGAGCTTAAGGTATTTATTGAGAAACTATGTAACGGTATTTCAATCTGGAATTTCGCCCATAAACAAGTCGAGTGATTAGTAGAATATCCTGAAAGCTTCAGTTGGAAAGAATGTTCATTTGTCATAATATTGAATTGACAAGTAAAGTCGATTTTACGGCAAACGACCATTCTCTAAAAATTCAGTATCTTGACAAAGGATCATTCTTCTCGGCTGAAACTTTCAAGATAGTCAACTCTAGTCATCTGATCTGTTGTATATGGACGAAATTTCAGATTGAAGTACCGTTATTTAATGTTCAGTAAATACCTAAAGCTCGATCGAAAGTTCAATAAAATGGTCATAACTCGACTGCAGAGATGCATAGTTTTAGAATTTCTCTTGTCTTATCGAGACTTCTTGTAAATTCAATAAGAGTTCAAATAGCGAGTATCAGTTCGGATAGTTCCCTCGTAAATGGTAAATTCATTTGTGAAGGGACGAGAAGAAGTATTTAATATCGTCTTTTTTACAATGAAGAATTTGAGTAAAACAAATTCAAAATTTCTAATCTCGAAAATTGGAATTTCTACTTAAACAAAAAAAAATTCTTGTCAACGAAATATTTTTTCATATTCCGCATTGTTATTAAATCAATTTACCTTG